CAGTGTTGAAAATGTCGAATTTTGTGTTAACCAAGCAGCATTTGCGAGAAATTTTAATTTTCTGCTTTAATTGGAAGAAAAGTGCAGCTAAAGCCCATCGAATGCTTGTTGAAGTTTATGGTGATGCTGATCCAACTGATAAATCATGTAGGGAATGGTTTCGACGTTTCAAGGATGGAGATTTCAGTGTCGAAGACAAGCCTCGCTCTGGACAGCCAAAAAAATTCGAGGACAAAGAATTAGAGGCATTATTCGAAGAAGATCAGAGTCAAATGCAAGAGGAGCTTGCAGAATTATTGGGAGTGACTCAACAAGCCGTTTCCGTACGATTGAGAGACATGGGAATTATTAAAAAACAAGGAAATTGGGTGCCTTATGAACTGAAACCGAGAGACGTTGAAAGGCGTTCTTCATAACAATGCTCGGCCTCATATCGCAAAAGTCGTAAAAAAATATTTGGAAACGCTCAAATGGGATGTTTTACCGCACCCGCCGTATTCTCCGGACATTGCTCCTTCTGATTACTGGTTATTCCGAAGGATGCAGCACGATTTGGCAGGTCACCGGTTCACTTCTTTCGCAGATATCGAAAATTGGCTCCAAACTTGGATCGCCTCAAAAGACGAGTCATTTTTTCGAGATGGAATTCGAAAATTGCCTGAGAAATGGGAGAAAGTAGTAGCCAGCGATGGAAAATATTTTAATTGATCTATTCATTCATTTTGTTTTGAAATAAATACATCTTTTAACACAAGAAAACGGACCGAACTAATCTGTACTTCCAATAGTTCTACGAACTTTAATGAGTTAAGGATTCTTCAATTATAAAGAAGTAATTTTAGCCAATAAAAGCCAATAAATTTCTTGCGAGAGAATAATAATTATCTGGAGAAACAGAAGACTGTTATTTTAAATCTCTTATTTTTATACAGAATTTTGAATGGATGTACATCAATCTTCTTTTGTTGTAATGTGGTTTGGACTTAATCAGTCGTGGACAGAAAGATTGTCTGCTATTTTTTGTGTAAATTTCGGCATCTATCCATCTTGTCTAACGGAAGAATTCTCCCAGTGAGAAAAAAATTTTCTCATTGATCAAGATGAATGCGTTCCGAAACTCACTTGAGAATGAACGCTCTTCTTTTGTTGCATTACATAACCATCATACGGAAAGTTCAAGTCAATAAATCACATTAGTACGTTACTTAAACAATACTCAGATGTAATTCATTTTTTAACGCATTCGTTAATATTACTATTAAACTTGGAATTATTGTAACAAAACGTTTTTGTGTTAATACTGTTATCTTTTTTAATTTCCAGTATTAATATTCTGTATATTTTTTACAATTTTGTAAATATTAGAGGGATTTTTCTTTCCACTTAATAAAATAAAATTTGTATAACGATGACGTATTGCACATGTCGAGACACTTTTTCGAGACACTTTAGACCGGATTCTCACTATCCATTTGCACGAGTCCATTACTCTCTCTCGTCAAATTTGTTTTCAATTCGAACGATTGACATATAACGGTGACACAGATTTTTTTTAACATTCCAATACAAAAGCATTGAAGCATATTTCAACGAAGAATTGACGGGCTCCTAGTTGTCGTCGCCTAAACGCACAATGACAATCCAGCTTTAAATGCAACAATCGCAAATTCTCCCGTTGGGTAAGACGAATTCACACCGTGAAAGTCACAAAAATAACGAGCGATCTTTCTGTCCAGAAGAATTATACATGGGACACTAGCCACCTTTCATTGTCGAGTCGACTCTCCATCCCGTTAATGTTCTATTTTTAAATTGGCCGCTCATCCCAGTTGAATACGATGCTGATTTTTATTTTATTTATATGCGAAAAATATGCCGCCTCAGCGGCAAGAGGTTTCTCAACCGCTGCGGTTCTCTCTTCCGCCTCGCGATTCTCTCCTCTCTCGGTGCTCAGACGCTCCTTCTCCCGCGCTCGATCTCGCGAAACGACGATTCCGCGATTAACATCGCGAGAAAGAAGACTCGATTTCACTGCGCCTGGCTGACTCACGATCCAGCCGGCGAGAGATAGCATCGTCGAGCGCCGCACGACTAATGAGATCGCGGAAGGATTGGGATCCTGATGACTATCGTCACGACATCGCGAGTTCGCGCTCGCGTGTACACGTGTATCGTGTACAGAACGCGATTTGTCTTCCGCGCTAGATTAGCCCGCGCGCGACGAACAAAGAACCGCCCGCGACTTTTGTTCGGCTCCATCGAATGTCGGCCATCTTCGCGCGCGGCCGTTCCACATCGCCCGGCGGCGGCGGCGATGCCTTTCCTCTCGCCTCGCGCGCAGGAGCGGCACTTTCTGGTCTCTCTCTCTCTCTCTCTCTCTCTCTCTCTCTCTCGCGAGATCGCGAGATCGCGATCGCGAAGTCGGGAACGGGATGTTCCGCGGCTTTGCTCCGCGACACATTAATCACCACGAATGTCCGCTGATTAACGGCGCAGCGTGTGCTGGGCTTTTCACTGGCGGCCTCCGCTCCGTGAACAGAATCCGGGCGATAATGGAGCCGAGCGCGGAAGGAGTTTAGCGGTAAATGCGAAGAGCAGAAAGAAGCAGCGTCGACTTCCGAGTCAATTATCTTTTCACGACGATGGAGACGAGAGGAGACGACGCCGTTCTCGATCGCCACCGTCGTTGTTCATCTTGCCGCGAGCTTGACAATTTTCGTCGTTTGTCACAGGCGGACACCGAGTGCAGCGACCTCTAGCGGCAACGCGGACATGTAGCAGGTCGTGGTGCGCGATTAATTGAAGGAGGAACCACGTCCAATTTCACAGCGCGACGAAACTCGAGACGTTCGCAGGCGTGTCGAATTAGTTTTCACGAGGATCACTGAAATATCTCGCGAATAAAAAGCCCCGTGCGGCGCAAAATCGTCTCGACAATAGCAGCGAAATGTACCGTGGGAGCAGATGCATCGTGCCGCGCCGACAATGGCCGGCTATCGCGATTTAACGTGGGAAAGCGCGATACGATTTTCCTTTGTTGTACGTTATAAAATAGCACGATACGTATGTGTGTATGCACATATATGTATAGAGGGTGTCTGCAAATTTTAGGTATTCGTCGCTTGCAGGTAGAACGGGCCGACAGGAAAGACGTGCGCACTTGCAGACAGAAGAAGCGTTGCGCGTTCGGATTCTTACGTGAATATCAGAATGTATCCGTCTAATTCAATGGATGAATTCTTGATTTGTGATAGGAAAATTATTCCATATTAGACAAGACGGGTGCATTACGAAACTCACACAAAAAGTTACGGGATGACCTTTCTTTTAATTAATTAATTTAATCTACGATTGTACACAGAGACCGACATAACAGTCTGAACATTTAGTACAAGGTTACTAATATTTTCTAATCGTACAAGTTCCTTTTCAGACATTGATATAAAGCTGTCGCTGTGGCAAATGCGCTACGCGTTGACAGGATCGTTCTCTCTCTACCTTGAATAATCAGCAAATCAATACTATTTGCATGCAATTGAAAAGAAGTCCTAATAAACTAAAATCGATAAATTATATCGATAAATAATAAATCAGTATTGTATACAATTAAAAAAATCCTAATAATTTAGTCGCACAAAATGTTAAGGCTATTGTATCAGTCACTGTACAATCGTAAATAATAAGGTTATTTGCTATTTTTTGTATGAATTCTGAAACTTACTTGGACCACTTTTTTATTCGCGACTGTAGCATTTCCGCAATCAGCAGACAATATTTTTTAACGTTTTTCAAATATCTATTTTACATGTTTTTTACATTTCTTTCATTCGTTGTAAAAAAATATTTATTTAACGTTTATTTAATGTTTATTTAATATTTATTTTACATTCATAACACGTTTAAAATTATTTTTTACGTTTTAAAAATGTTTTTTTAATATTTTTAAAAATATTTTTTATATATCTTTTTTCTGCTTGGGTGGTAATAAGTATTACGAAAATAATGTAATAATGTAAGTCAACGTACCGGAAGCGGCAAGACATATCCTATAGGCAACAATATTAGGCATCAATTGATTGAAAAATTTCGGTTGACTCAAACAATCAAAATTAACGTCGAATAAATCGCTATTACATATGATTGCTTCAACTGATTACTTTTATTAATCGTACGCTGATTAATAATTTATTTCGTCAATCGACTAAACTATTCATAATTATATGAATATTACGATTGATTTTGACGAATAATCTGCCGATTGTCTTGGTTAGTAAGATTTTAGTCGATTAATGCTCAACAGACTGAGATAGACACATAAAGTAAGATAATCTTAAGTCTGCATGGAAAGGATAATTTGCTTCTTAGAATCTCCCAAAAAACGGCGAGTATCAGCTGATATCGAGAGATATCGCGCTTTTTTTCGATGCTCGACTTTGTACGTCACGCGTGCATGCTTTTTACATCATTCCACCTCGTATTATTGGCTGATGCTGACCGTTAGGAGATCCTAGGAAGTGAAACATCTTCCTTACAAGCTGGAGGTTATCCTTCTGTACACACGCGTACATAATTCGTCCGATCGCTTCCCATCATGCGCTCATTCGTTCTGATACCGCTTAATTAATTCCTTAACAACCATCGCGATATTTACAAGGTGATAGCGCGACTTCCTTGTTCAGTCGAACCTGTTTCACCTGCGCATGATGGGTGTGCCTTCAATGTTCGGACTTAGGCTGTACATATAAAAACGCGGAGCGAATTCCGTTACGATGCAATCGCCGTCAATAGGGGCAACTGCAGAAATGAGATTAAAAGATTAGATTAGATCGGATTAGATCGGACACATTTCTCTCTCTCCCGCTTTTATACTCGCTCTATACGCTTCTGTCCGGCACAGACTCGTCTTATTATTAATTACGCGCCGCACGGAAAGCAGATAATAGAAGCGATATCGGGTTATCGCGGCGAATCGAATTTCGATCACGAGCGATTTCTCTTACCTTGACTTCATGATAACGCTCCTCCAGGTAGTAAGCGATATCCTTTGCTTCCTCGTACTTGGCGGAAAGGGCCACGTACTTGTCGTAGTGCCGCTTGAAGAGAACGAACCTGCGCACAGGAAACATGTGGTCAGCTGATGAAGGGTCGCTCGCGTGGCGCTTAGAACCAGAGACGATGCTCGCACGGCAGCTTTAATCCGGTTTAGTAACTACCGTATAGTTGGTGGTTTCTCGCATCCAATTGGTACATTCTTTCAGATCCAGAAATAGACTTCCACGGAGGATGCGAAAGCTCACTAACTTGCGATTATTGCGATACCGGACTGACGTTGCCGTGCAAATGCGGTCAGAGGTTCGCTGGATGACTGGTACAATTAGAGAGAGAGAGAGAGAGAGAGAGAGAGAGAGAGAGAGAGAGAGAGAGAGAGAGAGAGAGACAGAGAGACAGAGAGGCGATTAATTATATAGATCCGTAGGATTCCCAATGAGATCATCATCTCGCGTACGCGGAAGCTCTCATGTCGCTCCTCCCGGCACCATCCAGTCCGCCGCGATGGACTCGCGGTGACCTGTTGTTCGCCATTGTTCGCGAAAGCGGACGGAAATGGCTGCAGACGGACAGGTGGACGAACGGACGGATGCAGAAGCCCGTCCTGTTTGTGACTCTGCTGCGATCTCTCTCTTTCTCTCTCTCTCTCTCTCTCTCTTTCGGGCTGCCCCGCGATTCTCGGCGCTCGATTTCACTCGTCCTGCTCCTCCTCCTCCTCTACTGCTGGTCCCCGTTGGCGAACTTTCGCTTTCGCGCGGCCGAGCGAATTATTCGGGCCCCGATCCGGACTGATTCCGTGCACCTCGGCAACGACCGGCATTCCGGCGGCCCGTCGCCGGCGGTCGCGCGTTTCTTCCGGCAGCCGGCGAGCGAATGGACCGGACCGGCAGGCCGTCGTCGGTCGACCGGGGGCCCCGGAGAGCTCCGAAGTGCGAAAGTCACCCGGGGCTGGCTGGCCCCGGAAACACGAGGCATGCGTCAAGGTTGCCGGCGCGCGCGCTCGTGTTCGAATGCAATCGATAGTCGATGACATAAGCAAGGGGGACTATTACGTTCCAGGCGTGTTTTTCTCGAGGCGATGAGCACAGTAGGTGGCCTCTAAATTTCTTGGAGCGGGCTCTCGCGCGAAACGAGAGCGAAAACTGGCGGTATTTTTCAGTCGAAACGATGGCGGGTGGGGGGGCGGGGGAAGCGTTGCCGCGGAAAACCGCTAGGGTGTGTTTTCGCTGAAGCTTAGGGTGAATTTTAGTTCCGCATGAGCGAATGTTTCGGTCGATTAGAGACAATGTGAACGTCCCAATTGCGACGGATTCTAATTTTCGACAATTGCGCACTCGTTTTCCTCGGTAAATCGGGTGATCGAATCGATGTTCATCCGGAATAAACGTTCTGGCTTTGAATTTAAATACGTCATCGATCTTAAGAAATTTCGGATAAAATTGAGAGCCAAGTAAGTGCTGGAACATCATAATTACAAGGCCACATGACAGTTTGGGTGATTATTCGATGACATCTTAAAAATTGATGGTTAATGTCAGATTTCAGATGATCAGATATCTATTTGTCAAAGACCTATGTGGTCATACTTTAACTCCTTCCAAATTAAACAGTCAAACAAAACTAACCTATCCGTTATCCAAATGTTATCGTTACGTCTCCGTTATTTCTGAGAAAATATCATTATTCTAATTTCTGAGGAAACAATAAATATATATAAATAATAAAATAATAAAAATAATAAATAATAAATATTACAATTATATTAAGTAGATAAATAAATAAATTAAAATCTTTCTGTAAATTAGCAAAATGTAACGCGATTATATAATCACTGTTTATAACTTTTTTCATTTCTGAGGAAATAATAAAAATATTACAAGCAGATAAATGAATTAATTAAAATCCTTCTGTAAATTAGCAAAATGTAATGCAATTATATAATCACTTTTTATCACTTTTTTCACTTCTGAGGAAATAATAAATATCACAAGCAGATAAATAAATTAATTAAAATCTTTCTGTAAATTAGCAAAATGTAACGCGATTGTATAATTCTGGATGTTTTTCAAGCTTTCAAATTCAACTTTGTATGCTTCAGCATGTATATATACATACGTATAATTACTTTATGAATATATTTCCACGTGCGATGAGGTTACTTAATTGCTAATTAAGACATTCACCTTATGTTTCTGTGACGGTGGAATATATCAGTTTCACTCTGCAATTCCAAGTGAAGAAACAATCACTCGACGATTCAGAATGAAGGAGAACCACTTTGTATGAAAAATCACTCGGATTTCAGTGATTCAGCACAGTCAGTCTACTTTTCGAGTATAGAATTTCAATACGAGAGACTCGGGGAGTGAACTGAAGTAGCCAGAAATTTCTCGTCGAGCTCGAGATTTGATGTATCGTTGATTGAACGTTGTTGATTCGTCGCTGACGTCGTACTTGTAAATGTACCGTGATGTCGTTGTTATTGTTCGTAACGGCAAAGCAGTTAACAAACTGCCGGTTACCGTCGCTTTGACCGGCATTACGCGACTCCAGAAGGAAAATTTATACGTTACGTAAGGGCTTCGGGCTAATTTACTGCGCTTTCAAACGCCAGGCATTGTCCGGCGCGGTGCACGTATCCGACTCGCGCGCTGGTCTGTTCTGTTTTTTCGCGAGCGATTTCGTCGCATGCGACGGGAGAATCGCAATCGGGAGATGAAATCGAAGGAAAAAAAGAAACAATCCTCGCGCGGTGCGCAATATTCCCGGCGTTGATCTTTCTCGAAGTCGCGCGACGGCGGTAATTACGGACTTCCTAGTTATTACGAAGCTGTGAATGGGCGCGTTACGACGCGTGGATGAAAACATTAATAAAGAACGAAGATACGGTGAAATGTGAAAGTAATTAGCCGGCACCGCGAATATAATTGGTATCGCGTAACCGCGACCGGTTAAATTTAGCTGCCGCACCGCTCTCGATATCCAGTATCGCGACGATATTCTCCTCTCCTTTCGATACGCGTATCGAAATCGCGCGATAACGGGGATACCTCGCGCCTGATAGCATCGCGAATGTTGCTGCGCGACGCAATTATCAAAGTAAGAGTCGATATCGGCACGTCGAGGAGGCGCGCGCACAGCCTTTAATATTTTATTTAGGGCTGGTTTTTCAATAACGGTTTAAATTTAGATCAAAGTCCAAACTCTCTTCAAAAGCATTAGACTGTTTTTCAATGGATAGATCAGAATAAAATGTAGTTTAAAATAATAAAGTGATAAAGTAAATCAAGTATAGTTTAACTAAACTGTGAATGATGACTGTCGTTTAAAAGTCGTTTAATGAATGAATAAACGTCGTTATACACACACACACACACACACACACACACACAATACAGTGTCTCTATTATTATATTTAAAATCATATTGTTAAATATTTATAAAAGTATAAAATATTTATTACGATGTTTGATGAAGAATACTATGAAGAGAGTAGTGAAGATGAGGATATTTTAGAATATCAATAAAACATATCAATATGAGAAAAAATCGTGTTATAAGGCAAATACTAAATCATTTTGAAATTTAGGATGAAAAGGAATTTCTTCACAGATTTCGCTTACCCAAAACTACAGTTCATATGTTAATAGAAAAAATTCAAGACGTTGCTCAATCACCAACTGAAAGGTATTAATATATGTCATATAAATTAAATGACATGTATAGAATATTTTTCAATTATATTAGCTTTAACTAATTAACTAGTTGCACAATATGGTGTTTACTAATAATGAATATTGTACGAATAGTATAAAATTTATTTATATTGTATTTTTTTTATTTTTTCCCAGAAATCAGGCTCTTTCAGTATATATGAAATGATATTATTAACATTAAGATTTTATGCTAGTGGATCTTTTTTGACAAAAGTAGGTGATTTTGTTGGTGTTCATAAAAGTATAGCCAAATAAAAGAATTAATAAAGTTTCAAGGGCAATTGCTCAACTTAGACCTGCATATGTAAAATTTCCGAATACAAAAGAAGATATTCAAAGACCTCATGAAAGGTTTTACAATATCGCAAGATTTCCAGGTTGTGGGTGTCCTAGATTGCACTCATGTTAGAAAATCTAAATCTCCACGTGTCTAAAAGTGACCCGCACAGCGATGACTTTTCGTTGCCAACTTAAGAATAACAAAGATTTATCTAAACTGTCTTCAGCGTCATGCTTGAAAAACACACAAGATGTAAAACTAGGTTTATGGATCAAGGAAGGATCGGATAATCTTTAGTTTAAATTACGATTGAAAAACCGGCCCTTATACTATTATAAACGCGGTCATGGTTCGCTCGCCGCGGATGCCGCTCCCAATCGTTCAGCGAAGAAACGACTCGCGTTTCCGTTCCTCGATTGCGTAGGTGAGCAGATGGTAATGGCTTCCTCGTCGAGTCGGCAAGGCCAGGCTATCGTGAGTAATCGGCGATATCGTCAGAATATTCTCTACTTGGCGACGCACAAAAATACGCAACTGCGCGACACACGACGACCAACGGCGGTGCGTCACGCCCGTCATTTTCTCGAAGGATCGGAGATCTGGAAATCGTCCCGATTCTTTGAGAAAATGAAGCCGATCTTTCCAAGCCACGCAAATTAGCGACCAACTGTTAGTCTCTATTTTAATGAGCATTATCGCGCTCTTAATTTTAGGTCACCCTATGTAGCTATGAATATACTATAAATCTTACTCGATAAGGAAAAACGTCCAGAGGCCAAGACTGTCGCGCGAATTTTGTTGAATATTAAGATATACATATATATATTTGTTTTTCTTTTTTAATTTCCATGCATCTCAATATTTGATAAAATTCGCGCAGAAAACTGGCAGAATGCCGGTTACAGAACGTTTCAAACCGAATTCTCACTGCTCGTTCGTGAGATGAGATAAAAGATATCGAAGCGAGTTTGTCTGGGCTGGAATTCAAACAACCGGGACCTTTCGCTTGCCGAGTAACCGCTCTATTATTGAGTTACCCGGGCTTCACTTTTACCGATGCCTCTTTCTCTCTCATGTATTCGCCGAGATGGTATTCCTGTAATTAAATCGTTCGCAGCTTGGATTTTACAGTTCTCGGCTAGTCTAATGATATATCCGTCTTTCTGAATGTCCCTGAACGAGTTACACGCTCGCCGCGGCGAGTTGTTCCTCCAATCTTTTTCGACAATATGCGAGTTCCCACGCTATCAGTGTTGATTATAATCTCTCAGTCCCTCGTTTGATCATAATCTTTACCGCAAAAACGGCTCTTCTCGACTTCTCGACTTCTCGACAACGCTAACATTAACTTTTCATTGTAATCTAAGCAAATTATTGCTCCGTTTCATTTCTACTATTAATGCCAACATTAACATCTCGATTCAAATTTCACCGCGAATTTGAGCGAGTCCTTTCAAGTGACAGCAGTTCCGAAGATCTTTCCGAATTTTTCCGAATATTCCCGAGCATAATTGCACTTTTGGAATTTGTAAGTTGAGAGAAAAGATAACAAAACGAAGCTGTCTAGGCTCGGACTCCCTCGAACCTAGATTTCTTATTCATTCACCGATATCTCCCCCCTCTCCCTCTCTCTCTCTCTCTTTTATCTATCATCTATTGTCTAATATCGAGATGATATTGATTTATCTCTAAGTTTTATATGTATCGATTTGTACATCAAGGTCTCACACGTGTACACAGAGAAAATGTTGCAGTAAACATTACGACAAAATTGTTGTAACCTAACCTCCTAACAGAGATTACAACCATGAAGTTATTACATACCCAGATAGACGGACATGTTGGCAATAGCATGCGTGCATTCAATATATATTTTATGATACCACTGAAGCGGCATAACATATTTATAATATGCTTACTGTAAAAAAAACGTATTTATTATTCCATACTTTGCAACAAAATATTAGTTTGTTTGTATCGCTGATTAATTGTGGCCTTTTGCCGACACAATTGTAGCATGAGTTGCAATTTCCATCAGATTGCTTCTTTTATATGCTGCTACAATGTTTCTTGTATGAAGACGCATCTTTATGTACTCATGCTACTATTTTAATTCTCGAATTCAGTCTCTATGCAAACAACCTGTCGAGATTTGTCCATCTGGGTATTTACTTAAATCATACCACGCACGTTTAACTTTTCATCACAGAATTACGGTAATCACCCGAATATTTCGCCGATAAAAACTAACCGAGCTCGACGACGGAGTGGGAAGAAAAATTAGCAGTTTTCGTGCAATCAACAGAAAATCCTTTGGCGGCGGCCAGACAAGAGTAAAAAGCCTTATCCTTCGTTTACTCACTAACCTGTAGAGATCATTCTCGGTGACGATGTCACGGATGGAGTCCTCCGGGTCAATCCGATCGGCGAGGACCCCCGGCGCTCTCGGCGGCGACAGGATGATGGGTCGCGATGGTCTTCCAGCGGCGGTGCAGTCCCCGCCGCCGCCGCCGCCGCCGCCGCCGCCGCCGCCGCCGTCGGTGTCGCCGCAGCCATCCACGTCCCGAAGAGCACTGCTCGCGATCAGATCGTCCTCGGACGCCGTGGCCGGCAGAGTGACGGCCGGGCTGGGAGACCTGGAGCCGGGTATCGCGCCGAGCAGATCCTCGCTCCTCGAGTGGCGCATCTCCGTGACGGCGTACCTGCCGGCCGTGGCCGCCATCGTCGCACGCTCCGCTTCTCGTTTCTTGGCGGAAGGCGCGCCCACGAGGAAGCTGCCGCACTCAGCGACGATACTCATCCGGACGTAATGTGTGATCACACTTTCGATCGACGCGTCTTCTTCTCCCCCTCTCGCCACCGCTGCTTGGACCTTGCTTACTCCTCGGCGGTCGCGGTAGGCACTAACAGGTGCCGTCTTCCGGTTCCCAAGGATCCTCCTCCGTGTGTGCCTTCTCGACGTCTCACCAGCACCGTCGTCTCCGTGGTTCCCCCCGCACTACCACATGCTTCCTTCGACGAGGACCACTTTCTTCACGCTGTTTCTTCTTCTCTCCCTCCCTCCCTCCCTCCCTCCCTCTCTCTCTCTTTCTCTCTCTCTCTCACTCGCACGAGAAGCCGCTCTTCGAAGATACTCCTACGCGCACGGGTCCTTCGCGCGCCGTTCCTCCTGCAACGACGACCTCGTTATCCTCCTTCTCCTCCTCCTCCTCCTCGTCGTCCTCCTCCCTCCCTCGTGCCTCCTCGCCGCAGCATACGGCGAATTTCGTCGACGTTCGCGCGATTCAGCGCGTGTTTCGCGCGCCGTGCGAGATAACCGACTCCGCGGAATCCACCTCGATATCAGGCTGGTATCCTCTCGCGGGACACACTACGCGGCACCGAGATTCACGCACACCACTCACGACCGAGCATTCCGGGCCCGGCATCGAGCTGTCGCGCGCGCGCGCGCGCGCGCGCGCTAATTCCGCAGATATGACATATCCGATATCACGGAGCGTTGTTCGCGTTAGCGATTTATTAGCGGGACTATGATGGGACACGGGCACGACGAGCGCGACGACGGCGATTTCGTAATTCTCCGCTTCTCCGCGCTCGGGCACGAGTCGCGCGAGCACTCGTTGCGAGTTGTTGGTCGTTGGCCGGCCGCGCTTTCGCAACTACCGCGAGGTCTCGTGGAAACCAACAGGATCGCCGCTTCTTCTGCCCGCTCGCTCGCTCGCTCGCTCGCTCGTTCGCTTACCTCTGCTCTCCTCGGAAGGTAACGGATCTCTGAGCCAGGATTCTCCGTTACGTCCGTCGGCGACCGCGGGGGGGCTCCAATACCCTCTCTTCTTCAGGCGAAGAAAAAGTACCTGCAAATGGTCGGAGGTTCCTCATGAATGTCGAGTAATCTTTTCACGGATTCGTTACGGACCCTAATGGTCCGTCCTAGGATTTTCTTTTTGCGCGCTCAAACGTCCTGCCGGCCGGTGTCGAGGTACTCATCAATCAGGACGAGACAGCGAGAATTTCCCCCTCCCTTTTGTCATGCAGTGACATTCAGAATTTCGTGTAATAATTTTTTGTCGAAATTGTTCACTTTGCAACGAACTCACAGCGTGGGCTTCGGGTTCTCTTCTCTAACGAAGAAACAGCGTCTTTAAGTAGTCGGAGGTCTCCGTAGATATGAGTCCCGAATACCTTCTCTCCAGTTTCATTGCGGATTACAATCTGTTTCGAACTGTTTCGAAGCAACTTGCTAACAACCCCTGAAACGCCCTTAACGATTACCGCCCGGTGTGCTGTGAGTTTCACTAACCAAGGGTTATACCTTTTTGTCATTTTCGTCATCGAGTAATTTTGAAATTTGACATGGAAATTTCTAGTCAGAATCGCCCGTCTTCGAACAGGTACGTGTAAAACGTCAGCGTAAGAGATATGCGATAGTTCAATAGTTTCCACTTTTCAAATTTTCCATCCTAAAAAGGATGGAATATTTTCGACAGGCCGGCCGATGCCGGCTCGAAAGTTGAAAATAATTTATGAGTCCTGCGAGACTTTTCGAACAATTTACGAATCAGTTCCGGTCCCTGCAGTTGCAACATTCGTGTTAAAAAGGATTGTAATTTTTGCGCGATCTTCAGCATATATCTGTTTAGGCTGACGAAAAGATTGCTTTCCAATGGAGAGATTCACCCGTTAAATGATGGATGCGTCCTGTCACTCCTGCAAGAAGTTACGGACGACTTTCCTGTTCACGTATTGAACAAAATTTTCAAATTTTCAAAATGTTCTTTCTAGAAGCAGCATTCATTGTTCCAATAACTAAATACGACCGAACTTCTCATCATCCCGACAAGTAATTTAGAAATTTTTAGTCACAACCGTCTACGTTGCGATTAACGTGTGTGTAAAGGACGTCGATATAGATTTAAATATTCTTTTCACTGATTACCCATTACTTATTATTAATTGCTTATCAATTGCACCTTTTCAGGCGCAGGAGAAGTGTATTTGTAAATGTTTGAAAGTATCTGCAAGTTCCGAAACGACTTTTTCTCTACGGTTCACCGTGCATTCTAACGATCCGACCCGAACGACCTTTTAATCCCCGAAATGTTCTCAAGTATAATAATTATCGTTCTCGGTGATTGAGTAATTTTTTCGATAATTAATTGAGAGCAACAGCAATCCTCTTATCGTCCCGTCACCGAGTAATTTCGAAACTTGATGTTTAATTTCCAAATTTTCAGCCGTCGCAATTCACCTTGGGACTGGGGATATGTGAAGAATGTCAGCGCAGAGATCAATGGGCTTTCTTGGGAAAATGGGGAAAAAAAGAGAAACATCTGTCGTTTCCGTGCTTTTTATGGCCCTGGTCGAGATCGAGATCAGTTACGGACCCTTTGAAAGTCCCAAGAAACGCTTCTCATAATAGTCGAATATTCTTAAAATCTGTTCTCGACAGGTAACAATCGGCGCTCAGGTAACGTTGAATAAAAGCGACAGCTGCTTCTCGTTTCGTCTCATCTGTCGGAAAATTTTTCAGTCAAGCTCGTCTGTCTCGCTACTGACATATAAAAAAACGACACGCGCAGGTTGTCCTCGTCACTCCGTTTTACACCACTCAAACTCATCCTTGTCACCCCCGAGCGCTGTATTTTCAGTAACGAAAGCCGAGCGAGGGGAATTTATCGTTCGTCAACCGATATTGAAGTATCCTCGAGAAAGAAAAAGAGAAGGAGAATGAGAGAGAGAGAGAGAAAGAGAGAGAGAGAGAGAGAGAGAGAGAGAGAGAGAGAGAGAGAGAGAGAGAGAGAGAGAGAGAGAGAGAGAGAGAGAGAGAGAGAGAGAGAGAGAGAGGAGAGAGAGAGTGCAACAATTAAACGGCACGGAAGAGCAACGTTCGCGCCGAGAGAGAGAGGACGACTTCCGCGGGGCTTTCGCGGGGCTTTCGCCGGCCACCACCGAAACACTTCGATATCAGTCTCAGAACTCGCATGTGTCAACGTCCACTTGAGCACTCGGCGGACACTCCCTTCAAGGACGACCGCCTAGACATCGCGCGCGCGCGCGATCGATGCGCGCACGAGGATCCTCGCTCCTCGACACTGTCAGGCGGCCATCTTCGTTCAGCCCGGTCGGAGCGCGGTTCAGGCAGGTCCTCGCGCTTGAAAAACAACACGGATCCTGCCACGGACCATGCGCGGATCATGACCCACCTCTTGCACATCACCGCTATATCCCATCGACCGCCGCTGTCGTTGCACCGCACCGCACCGCTCCGTTTCGTTCCGTTCTGCCACGCGCAACTGCGAACGCGATGCCGACCGGACGGACGACTGCAGCTGGATCTGCAGTCTGGCCTTTTCACGCTCGCAACTATTCCGCCGGCGAAGCGGAGAGCCTCCACGGACCGGCGAGAGAGAGAGAGAGAGAGAGAGAGAGAGAGAGAGAGAGACCTTTCGTGCCGAAAGAGGGGTCGAATGGGAAGGGGCGGTTGCACCTGGCTCCAGCTCGTACCTGGCGATGCGTCGTGCGAGTTCACGCGGAAGTCATCGAGGAGGAACTTACCAGAAAATGCAAGGAGAGTCGAGGAAATTCGAGGATCCTCGAGAGGGATGCTCTTTTATCTTCTCACCGGAAGCACCAAGGGGTTGAAAATCACCGCCTCCTTGTAATTTCTTACAGAAATAATTTTCTTTTTTTACAAAAGTTATTCGAACTTTTTTTCACTTAATGATGCATTTCATACTTTGATGTTACATTTGGTCGTTTTATTTATTCACTTGGTTTATTTATGTTGAGTTTGTTTATTCGTCTTATTTATTTGTTTACGTCGGAGATGGCCGATTTGTAATTTCTTGCAAGGGTTATTCGAATTTTTCTTACCTAAGGATGCATTTCATATTTGATCTCTTTATTTATCTACTTTGTTTACTTGCTTGTGTTGAGTTTGTTTATTTGTTTTATTTATTTATTTACGTTGAAGGTGACCAGTTTGTAATTTTCTAGAAGAATTATGCAAATGCTTTTTACATAACTATGCATTTTATATTTTGATTTCATATTTTATCTCTTTATTTATTTATTTAACTTATCTATTATTTTATTTTATTGCTCATTTTATATTTTTAATTACTATATTATGGTTTTTATATTACATCATACTATATTTATTATGTTTCAATGTTTTGAAATAATTGAAAAAAATAAACATGTTTGTCTTTGTCTAATTTTTTCGAAAATTTATCATTTTGACCTCTTTGGTAAGTTGCATTAATCATCGGTCGTTCCAGCGTTAGATATTCTTTATACGTTCCGACTGTTGTTGAAGCTCAATGTTTCTTCTTCTGCCTAATGTCCCGAAGAAGCGTGTTCTATTGTTATATTCTGAAAATCCCAAGTGTTTTCGAACCCCTTCGAAACTTTCTCACTGAATAAGGCGTGGAATAAGGTTGAAACTTCTCTGACTAAGAGATAATCCTATTCTCCTTTGGCATTTCATTTGATCCTTGTTCCAAATTGAGAATTCACTTGATCCGCTTGAAACATTCCTGCTTCTAATTTCTCGTCTACTTATTTATAGCTCTTATTTCTCATTAATAGTAAAATGTATTTATATATTTAATAAAGGGCTAGTACCAATAAGCAACATATAACAAAATGTTTATTGATTGAGCGCGAATATTTGCACAGATATCGTGTGTTATAGTAAGAATTATAAATGTGTCTCTTATCAACGGTTTATACAAAAAAGGTTATTGATTCAATGTCTTTTTTTAAGGTAGTTATTTTTTAAGATCCGTATATACGTTTTTTTTCAAGAACCCTTTCAAACTTTTAACTACATATTAATAGTCATAAATGAAATATTTCCTTTCTGCTCCGCTCTACAGAGCTCATTCCAAACAACGCGCATTGCTTCGCTGATTTTAATTCATATCTCAATAATTATCGCGTAACTGTTTGCAACATGGTAAATAATATTTTTCTTTAGATCAATGAGTTCTACCCACATACGAGCACAAATGTACATTTTATGTTAGACTACTTTTAGAAATATTATGTACAAAACTGGTGAATGTATATTATCCTGAAAAAGATCGAGATTTGAAAAGTGATAGGATTTCCTGAAAAATTATACACTAAAATTCGAATATCGTCACGGATTCTGCCGAAATACAATTTTATCGAACTATTAAAATGGCTTGTTGTGCAGCCGGCTGTGTTAGTATTAGGGATGTACAAAAGTTTCCATCCTTCACGTGTAGATGGCATTGTGAATTATTTACATAAAAGTTGCAGAGGTATCCCAATTCGACACAGTACGGTTGGACACAGCCAATCAAATTGGTTAGTTAAGTTAGGATTAGGTTAAATTTGAGTAATATTATTGGTTGTGTTCAATTGCAACGTGGTCAATCGGGACCCATCCAAAATTGCGATGCACCTTTGTTAGAATATATCAGTACAACCTGCATAAAAAGTGATGTATAATAAGTCATATTCATTGACATAAACATTTTCAATTTGTATAAAGATGCATAATCGTTACTGCATGCTTTTTTATTTCATCAGCGCAAAATAACTGCCGAAGCAACCAGAATCATTTGCGAAACTTGTGGTGAGGGAACGATAGCTGAAAGTTCATGTCGTGAGTGGTTCCGGCGTTTTAAAAGTGGCGATTTTGACTTGAAAGCAAGGAGCGGGCCGGGCGACCGCAAAAGATAAGTTCGGAGAACTTGGAAGCATTATTGCAAGAAGATTCGACTCAATCCAGTGTAGAATTTGTGAAAAGGTTACATGTTAATCAGAGCACTGTAATTGGACGCTTGCATAATATGATATAAGGAAAATTCTGAAGGAAGGAAAATAAGTTCCTCACGAATCATCCGAGAACGCTATTGCCAGCCGGGTCACCATTTGCCTTTTACTGCTCAATAGACACAAACTTTTTTGTATTGTCTTTTTTGTATCGAATTGTCACCGGAGACAAAAAATGGATTTATTATGACAATCCCAATCGCATAAGATCGTGGGTGAATCCGGAGGACCCTTTTTAAGTTACAGTTAAAATAAAATATCCATAGTCATGAGGTTCTCCTGTGTATCTGATGGAACATGCAAGGTGCTGTATTAAAAACTGTTAAAACAATCTCAGACTATCATCGCGGAATTATATAATCGACAATTGAGACAGTTGAATGAGCAATTGATTGGGAAATAGCCAGTTTCGACAAACAGTTGCGACAATGCAAAACAAAGTGATTTTTCTTCACGACAATGCCGGGCCCTATGTTGCATTGACGATCCGGGAAACTTTAATGGAATTGCAATGGGAAGTGAGTCCTACCACATTCGGCATATTCTCCAGATCTTGCCTCATCGAATTTTCACTCATTTCGTTCCATGCAACACAGTCTTTCCGGTATACGATTTCGCAATGTTGAGGTGCAACAATTTATCAATAACTCCATTCATTTAAAGATTTCTCTTATCGTGGTATCCATCTTTTGTCTAAAAGATGGCAAAAAGTAATAGATAATGCAGGAAAATATTTTGATTAAAAATACTATGTGATTTATAATAATATTAATAAAAAACATTGCCTTAAAAACGATGATAACTTTTGCATACCTCTAACATCTATTTAAATTATTTATTTTTTATTTATTTGAGCAAATAGGTGAATACTAATAGATCTATGTGTATTTTTTCGCGGTAGTAATTCCTTTTTGAAAACATTGTACATTTCGTGGTATTGTTTCGGTTATATTATGATATTATGATTTCTCAGGAATTTATTCTACGTTTTGAATTTCGACACTTTGATTTCTCAAAATAATCCATCTCGTGCATCTATCACAAATTTTCCAAATTATTTTGACTATTTTGTCATAAAAATACAACCATGTTTGTAATTTATAATAATACTCAAGGTACATATATATGTACACATTTTTAAATATAAGATATTTATCCGGAGTTAAATACAGCAACACTCATGCGTAGGTAGAGTTCATAAAGTTAAACAGTCCTTTATCGTTTTACAAACACAATTTTCCAGATTTTAATTAAAGAAGCTTGCCGTGTGATGCGGTGAGATGAGCTTTGCAGAACATCTCTGAAGAGACATATCTTGGGCTTTTTGACAATAACTTTTGCAGGTACCGATGGATATTGAGTGTCATTGAAAGGAGCGGTACGTTATC